TGAATTATTGAATAGATTTAAGCTCCCTAAGATAAGGGCCATTGTACCCATTTTTGTTTCCCTTATGGTATCTGGTACAATGCCTGGTACCAGTTTGTACGTACTAAACTATTTTTTGATATTTATCTTTTGTCTGACTGCTTGTTAGCCCTTTTACTGATCGCTTATCAATGTTAAAGCTTTTACAAGTATTTTTAGTAGAATGCTATTTATTTGCAAATAATGACCATTTGGTCTTTTAAAAACATTTTCCCACACAACACCTATGTACTTTTAAAAATTGTCTCTGTAGCTGGGGTATTAGCCAAAACTTTCAGAACAATGAGTTTAATATTAATGATAAATGTAGGCAATCGTGTTTTCTGATTGTAATGTGAATAAACCTAGTATATTACTGTTCAATATGATTGCTAATTTAAAACAGACATATTAGACAATATCTATTTTTATTTTTTGAAAGTTGTTTTTAAAAATATTAAATTTTATCCAAAGTCTTTTAGTCATGCACTTAGATATTATTTTTTAATTTGACTCATTTAGTAGGATAGTATTAGATTTTCTGTTCCTAATTCATCTTTGCATTCCTGAGAGGAACCAGCTTAGTCATAAGAGTTCATATTCATCTTATTCTTACCCTCTACTTTCAGAAAATTGCCAAATCCAGCAGATTTTTTTTTTTTTTTTTTTTGGAGAGACAGAGTCTTCCTCAGTTGCCCAGGCTTGAGTGCAGTGGTGCGATCTCAGCTCACTGCAACCTCCACCTCCCAGGCTCAGACAATTCTCTTGCCACAGCCTCCAGAGGAGCTGGGATTACAGGCATGTATCACCATGCCCGGTTAATTTTTGGTTTTCATATAGACGGGGTTTCACCATGTTGGCCAGGCTGGTCTTGAACTCCTGACCTCTGGTGATCTGTCCGCCTCAGCCTCCCAAAGTGCTGGGATTACAGGTGTGAGGCACTGCACCTGGCCAGATCTCACTATTCTTGCAACCACGTGATTCTCATTGCTACTATTCTAGTTCAGGCCTTCTTTGCTTCTTAGCTGGACAACAGTAGTGGCTTTTTTTTTTTTTTTTTTTGAGATGGAGTTTCACTCTTGTTGCCCAGGCTGGAGTGCAGTGGCTTTTAAATACTTCCCCATCCTGTTCCTGATACTTCGTTTCCATTACACATGTAGTATACACCTGCATACAATTTATATAGTCTCTCAATTTATTTATAATTTCCTGCAAAAAGGTATTAAATGGGCTGGGCACGGTGACTCACGCCTGTAATCCCAGCACTTTGGGAGGGCTGAGGCGGGTGGATCACGAGGTCAGGAGATTGAGACCATCCTGGCTAACACAGTGAAACCCCACCTCTACTAAAAATACAAAAAATAAGCCGGCCGTGGTGGTAGGCACCTGTAGTCTCAGATACTCGGGAGGCCAAGGCAGGAGAATGGCGTGAACCCAGGAGGTGAAGCTTGCAGTGAGCAGAGATGGTGCCACTGCACTTCAGCCTGGATGACAGAGTGAGACTCTGTCTCAGGAAAAAAAAAAAATAGGTATTAAATGTGTTTTCTCATATTTATTCCTAATTTCCTTAAAATTTTTGTTGCTACTATAAATGTGTTTTACTTTAAATGATGCTGCTTTCTGTTTGCTGCTGGTATACAGAAAACCAAATGATTTTATTAGACTGATTTTATAGTCAATCACCTTACTAAACTCGCTCTTCTTTTTTTTTTTTTTTTTTTAAGAGACAGGGTCTCGCTGTTGCTCAGACTGGCCTCAAACCCCTGGGCTCAAGCAACTCTCCAGTCTCAGCCTCTCAAGTAGCTGGGATTACAGATGCATGCCACCACGCCTCAAACTCCCTTATTATTTCCTAATAACTTGGTAACTGCAGGTAACCTTGTTTTATCTCTGGTCAGAAAGTATAATATGTAAGATACCAACTCATTAAAATGTATTAAGCCTTACTTTATGATCTAGTATGTAATCAATTTTTTTCTACTGTTCCATGTGCCTGAAAAGAATATGAATTCTCTAATTACTGGGCATATAATTCCAGAGATGACTATTAGATGAAACTTGTTCATGGTTAAAAATATTCTGTATCTTTACTGACTTTATATCTGCTTGATCTACCAATAATTGAGAAATAGGTTGCAATCTCCTCCTATGATGAAGGATTTCTCAGTTTTTCCCTAATAAAAAATTAACTATACAAATTTCACTTAATCTACTTTGAGGCTGTTCTATTAGGCTCATACAGGTTTAGAACTGTTGTATCTTCCTGGTAAAATGAACCCTTTATCATATATAATAGCCTTCTCTATTGCTAATAATGCATTCTTTTCTTTTCTTTTCTTTTCTTTTTTAAACAGTCTCACTCTGTTGCCCGCCCGTGATCTATGCTCACTGCAACTTCCGCCTTCTGGGTTTAAGCAATTATCTGCTTCAGCCTCCCGAGTAGCTGGGATTACAGGGACCCGCCACCATGCCCAGCTAATTTTTGTATTTTTAGTAGAGATAACGTTTCACCATCAAATAAAGCAAATAAATGTGGGAGCCTGCCCAGAGAATCAGATTTTCTCTAGGTTTCTGGCTCAGTGTGAACCTTCTTCTACCCTGCCCTAAATAAAAAGACCACACAAAAACAAATTTCCAATGCATGTGGGGCTTCTCTGTTCACCAAAGGCTTCGATTCAACTAATAAATGACATTAACACTGGAAATGGCTCTGGATGCCAAGGCCAGCCTTAGAAATCGCCTCAACTGCAGACTGAGAATCGCTGGGAGGGATGTAGGTGTGGTAATAACAAAAATTAAAAAGAGTAAGCATTTGCAACCTACAGAATGAGAGAAAATTTTTGCAATCTACCCATCTGACAAAGGGCTAATACCCAGAATTTACAAAGAACTTAGACAAATTTACAAGAAAAAAATCAAACAACTCCATCAAAAAATGGGCAAAAGATATGAACACTTTTCAAAAGAAAACATTTATGCAGCCAACAGACACATGAAAAAATGCTAATCATCACTGGCCATCAAAGAAACACAAATCAAAACCACAATGAGAAACCATCTCCCACCAGTTAGAATGGTGACCATTAAAAAGTCAGGAAACAACAGGTGCTGGAGAGGATGTGGAGAAACAGGAACGTTTTTACACTGTTGGTGGGACTGTAAACTAGTTCAACCATTGTGGAAGACAGTGTGGCGATTCCTCAAGGATCTAGAACTAGAAATACCATTTGACCCAGTGGACCCCATTTCCTGGGTAATACCCCGAAGGATTTATAAATCATGGCTACTATAAACAATATGCCACACGTATGTTTATTGCAGCACTATTCACAATAGCAAAGACTTGGAAACCAACCCAAATGTCCATCAATGATAGACTGGATTAAAAAAATGTGGCCACATTATACACCATGGAATACTATCAGCCATAAAAAAAAGATGAGGTGCATATCCCTTTGTAGGGACATGGATGAAGCTGGAAACCATTATTCTGAGCAAACTATCGCAAGGACAGAAAACCAAACACTGGTGTCTCACTCTAGGGTGGGATTGAACAGTGAGAACATTTGGGACACAGGGCAGGGAACATCACAACCGGGGTCTGTCATGGGGTGGGGTTGGGGGAGGGATAGTTAGGAGAAATACCTAATGTAAATGACAAGTTAATGGTGCAGCAACCAACAACGGCACATGTATACATATGTCAACCTGAACATGTGCACATGTACCCTAGAACTTTAAAAAGTATAATAAAAAAAAAGTAAACATTTTTTGATGTTTTGATAATGTAAGCGTGGTGCAAGCACTATTTTAAGCCATTTTAAGTAATTTTAATCTTTTTAATTTTTTTTTTTTTTTGAGATGGAGTCTCGTTCTGTTGCCGGGCTGGAGTGCAGTGGCGTGATTTTCGCTCACTGCAACCTCCACCTCCCTGGTTCAGTGATTTCTCTGCCTCAGTCTCCTGAGTAGCCTGGACTACAGGCGCACGCCACCATGCCTGGCTAATTTTTTGTATTTTTTTAGTAGAGATGGGTTTTCACATGTTAGCCAGGGTGGATTCGATTTCCTGAACTCATGATCCACCCACCTCGTCTCCCAAGTGCTGGGATTACAGGCGTGACCACTGCACGGTCATTTTTTTTTTTTTTTTTTTTTGGAGGCAGGATCTCGCTCTGTTGCCCAGGCTGGAGTGCAGTGGTGTGATCGCGGCTCACTGCAGCCTGACCTCCTCAGGCTCAGGTGATCCTCCATCTCAGCCTCCCGAGCAGCTAAAATACAGGCTACACCATCAGTTGCTAATTTTGTTTTTTGGTTTGTTTTTTGTTTTTTGTTTTATAGAGAGCTTCTTTCACTCTGTTGCCCAGGCCGGTCTTGAACTCTGGGCTCAAGCAATCCACCCACCTCAGCCTCCCAAAGTGGCTAGGATTACAGGCATTAGCCACCACACCCAGCAAGAATTAAGATTAAAACCCTATGAAGTTGTAAAGTTTTCATCCCCATTTTGTCCTGGTATCCACTACAACCGCATTACATCACTTTGAAACTCATATTCAAAATGCTATCCTTCCTGCCTCTTATCCTGGAAAACACAAAAGAACCACTGAGTTCACAAAGACTATCAACACCCCGTTACCCAAGTAACTCAGCAGCTACCAGATTAAGCCCTGGTGCAGGTGCGCCACTATAGTCGACAGCACTTGGGAGGCTGAAGCAGAAAGGATCCGCTGGACCCCAGGACGCTGAGACAGCTTGGTCCATAGTAAACCCCCATCTAAAAGTCGACTTAAAGTATGATACTTTCCTACAACAAATTCCTCTTCCAAGAGAATTAATAAAAAAAAAGAAGAAAGAAAGAAAGAAGAGAGAAATAATTAACATGTTCTTTACAATAGAACTCAAAGAAAGGAATCAAAATTAATCAAACTTTGAGGATGATTTTTTGGTACCTCTTGTTAAAACAAAGAAGCATTCCAGAAACATACCTGTTGGAGCCATCTTTCATATGGACTTTTAGCGTAAAGAACATCCACCATGCCAGGATCATCATTCATGTATTTATCCCTGCCATCTCCACTTCTAGGGGGTTTACCCCGGAAATGTCACTGCAAGAAAAAAGCATTAAGATATCTGTACATGTTTAAGCTAAAGGGCTATTATATTTTGAAACATGGTTAATATACCATAGTCAAATATGTATGTTACTTACATATTACAAAAAACATAGCAGTTGTGTTTTTCCCTAAACATTATCTTAATTGCCCTTCTAATTTCAAAATTAGTAAATTTTCAATGCCACACAAATTGGAAAACACTGGAAAGTATTTCCAATGTCCACACTATATTTATCCCCAATACCAGTTTTTATTAGCACGGTCTCATAGAGAAAGTCAAGAGATGACAGTTCTGATCCATAAAGACATTTACTATCTTGGCCTCCATCTCTCAGGTGCCCCATCTCTACTATTTCAACAAGTTACAACAGCCGTTCACTCAATATAACAAAGGTGGAGGTGTAAACTGATATCACATCTTTCTTATTTTTTTGTTTGTTGGTTGGGTTGTTTGTTTTGAGATGGAGTCTCGTCTATTGCCCAGGCTGGAGTGCAGTGGCCAACGATCCTGGCTTACTGCAACCTCACACCTCCCGGGTTCATGTCATTCTCTGCCACAGCCTCCCAAGTAGCTGGGACTACAGGCACCGCCACGACGCCCAGCAATTATTTTTGTATTTTTAGTAGAGACAGGGTTTCACCATGTTGAGCCAGGATGGTCTCGATCTCATGACTTGGTGATCTGCCTGCCCTCGGCCTCCAAAAGTGCTGGGATTATGGTGTGAGTCACCTCGCGGCCTTTTTTTTTTTTTTTTTTTTTTTTGGAGACCAGTTTTGCTAGTCGCCCAGGCTGGATGCCAATGCAAATCTCGTATCAACCTCCGCCTTCCCTAGGTTCAAGTGATTCTCCTTGTCTCAGCTCCTGAGTAGCCTGGGACTACAGGTGCTTGCCCACCACACCAAGCTAATTTTTTTGTATTTTAGTAGAGATGGGGTCCACTATATTG